TACGGCTCCCCCCAGGGTCACCTCCATCGACATCAAGTACCAGATCTGGAAGTTTGGGGTCATCTTCACCGACAACGTGAGTGGGGGGTTGTGCGGGGGGACCACAGGTGGCTCCAGCTGTGACAGTCGACATCAAGTACCAGATCTGGAAGTTTGGGGTCATCTTCACCGACAACGTGAGTGGGGGGTTGTGAGGGGGGACCACATGTGGCTCCAGCTGTGACAGGCAGGGGAACTGGGGGGCAGGTGCTGGCGGGCGCCCTGGTCCCAGCTGGTGCCCCTCGTCCCCCCAGTCCTTCCCGTACTTGGCCTGGTACATGGTCATGTCGCTGCTGGGCCACTACAACAACTTCTTCTTCGCCGCCCACCTGCTGGACGTGGCCATGGGCGTCAAGACGCTGCGCACCATCCTGTCCTCCGTCACCCACAACGGCAAGCAGGTGCGGTGGCGGGGGCGGCCACGGGGCACCTGGGGGGGGCCACGGGAAACATGGCTCCGGGCTCCATCCAGACCCCTCTCCCCTTTCACCAGACCCCGGGGGCTGTTCTGGGGACGAGCCGGGGCGGGCAGGGTCATCCCCTGGATGAGAGACCGGCAGAGGGTGCTGGGGGGTGTCTGACCCCATTCCCCCCCGTACCCCCAGCTGGCCATGACAGTGGGGCTGCTGGCCGTGGTGGTCTACCTCTACACGGTCGTGGCCTTCAACTTCTTCCGCAAGTTCTACAACAAGAGCGAGGACGAGGACGAGCCCGACATGAAGTGCGACGACATGATGACGGTCAGTGGGGGGTGGGTCTTGCCCCTGGGGGGGGTGCTGGGCCTTGATGTCCCCGCGTCCAACGGCCCCCCCCTCTCCTGCCCCCAGTGCTACCTGTTCCACATGTACGTGGGGGTCCGGGCCGGCGGGGGCATCGGGGACGAGATTGAGGACCCGGCGGGCGACGAGTACGAGCTCTACCGCGTCATCTTCGACATCACCTTCTTCTTCTTCGTCATTGTCATCCTGCTGGCCATCATCCAGGGTGAGGGGGCCTCACGGGAGGGGGGGGCTGGCATCTCCGGGGGAGGCCGGGGGCTCTAGGGGGGCGCGGGGACCAC